AGTAGATACAGCATTAACTCTGCCCTGGAAGATGTAGGAAATACAATGGAGAGGCAGAGGAAGTACCAGTCTTTTAGTCAATGGGACAGCATGCAATGAATGAAAACCTTGAAGAAGGCCCTCATCACCACTAGAGTCTCCCAGAAAGACACCATGCTCATTTCCTATGGAAAAAAAAACAACAACCCCAAACACGATAGCTCTTCAAGAGTAAAATGAATCAATGATTAACAATATTCTTGTAGACTGATAAAAGACAATGATATCTACAAATATGTAATTGTTGATGACACTCCAAACATGTTTTAAAATGTTTTTGAGAGATATTTCATATAAAAAATATGATATACAATTAAGCTGATTAGCTTAATTGCAATTCTTTAATATTTGTTAATACTTCAAGAAAGGTGCGAGTAGCTACATCAAGACTTTTTCCAGTTGCCACGTGGTGGTCAAAGTTGTAGGCAAACTTTGGTTAGGCACATTACAAATAGTACAGTTAAGATTGTTAAATTGAAATTCATTAAGACTGAGAGAAATAGAGTGAGATTACTGAAGTTCTTGCCAAATCACTTTTGTCTCAAACATTACTGTATATTTTTACACTTCTGCCCAGAAATGATTCATAATCAATTAATTCCAGCTCTGCAGGACAAGACCACAGGAGCATGATGCCGTTTCAATATCTGTTGCTCTGAGTCAATTAATTGTGTTTGGCATGTTGTATCTTGTATCATATTCTATTAAAGTGCTCACCCTAAAAGGTGAGGTCAGGGGGGTAAATTACGTCGTCTTTAGAGTGCCGTCTTCAGATGTGACAAACATGCATGCTTCTGGTTTCAAAAATATCCAGGTGGTTTCATATCCTTTTCTTGTGTACCAAAGTTTAGTGAGGATTGTTAGCCAGACAGATGTGAAAACATCTGTGTACTGAAAAAATAAATAAAAAGAAGCTTAAAGGTAAACTAGATAAAACAAAGGTCTGTTTTAAGGCTGTATCCAGTTAGAATAGAGGCAGGACTTATGAAACTCAAGAGGATCTTTTGGACCTCTCTTATTAAGGTGAGTTTAGTTGAAGTCAGTTTTATTTATATAGTGCCAAATCACAACAGCAGTTGCCTCAGGGCACTTCACATCCTCCTCAAAAAATCTGGAGAGACCATCACACAGACTGTAAAATTAACTTTTATCAGTTCTTTTATGTAGCAGATTGAGTATTATATTTACTAATTTTTGATCCCAC